TCCTTCCTTCCTTCCTTCCTCCCTCCCTCCCTCCCTCCCTATTTTGTATTAGTTTGTATTACTAATGTTTATGTTCTCTTTAAAACTTTTAATAAAACTTATTTTAAAAAAATTGGCAGCAGGACATACTCATTTATTTCCTGATAGGAATTAAGCAAATATTGTCTTCACCTATGAGACTATGATGTGAAGGAACATACTAAGAATTTTCACTTTTGAAAATTAGAAAATTTAGATTTGACTTGCCATACTAAGTACTCAAACAAACTTAAAGGAGATGTAACAAAGATACATTAACTGAATGTATGCAAACTTATTTACTTCTAAATAACCAAATTCATTTACCATCAGTTATTAATTTGAAATATGAACAAGACTCCTATATTCAAAGGTATCCCTAGTCTTTCAGGAACAGGACACCAGAAAGCCAGTGGGTTTAAATCTACCTTTAGCCATAGAAAAGCACTAGATGACTTTGGATTGGTGATACTTTCTCAGCCCAAAACTACTTCACAACCTCTAATTTTCCTGGAGAAAAAGCTGTTTATAAATCTAACAAATAACAAACAAATAAATACATGCTAGGCTTCAAAGCAAATTTTCCAAAAATAATTTATTTGCTTCAGATTTCTCTAGCTTCTTGTTCTGCCAAGAGAACTACTTGTTGCATTGACTGATGAGCTGCAGTAGGAACTGCAGTCTAACACATCTGGCAGACAGGACAGGAAGTCCAGAGTCATGATGCTGAATGATCTTTACCTGGTGGTATCCTTGGAGAAGAGTTTCTTGATTCTGGACTTCTTTTTGAATTTCTTTCAACATTTCTGCATTGTTAGGATTTTTTTCTTGAATACTTGACCACTTTGTTCCTTTTTTCAGGTCTTTTCTATTATTTAGCTATGAAGAAAATGCCTAAGTGTTAAGTACATCTTATAAAAACGTTAGCGAAAAAGAATTTTACTTGTAAGCAGAACACGTATATGATTGAGAAGCAGAATACTGATATGATTATTTAAGAAAATAACATTCATTTATTGAAATGTTATTAACTTGAATAATCATCTATATTCTGCTTTTCCTCCAAGTAGCTTATGGTGTTGGATATGGGTTTATCTGATGTTATAAACCTGCCTCATATTTCTGTAATTATTAGGAATTCCACAGTAGTTTTTTCCTGTTTAATAATATACATTCTAAAACATAAAAATTGGGTAAGAGTAGAAACATAATCTTGCTTGACAACCAGCGAGTTACATCCTCAAAGAAAAGGGTAAGGCAGGTAGCTTCATGGACATTTTTATCAAATGTAAAATAAATGTTGTTTTAGTGGAATATAACAAAATAGATGCTATTTATTAAACAGCAAAGGAATATGGGATGGTACCTGTGTTTGAAGAACATAATTTTCTTGGCTTAATTGAGAAAGCTTTTTATCTTGCTGCAGTTGCCTTTCCAGATGTTTTGCCTCCATTTCCTTCTCTTTTTGCAGAGATGTGGCTTTCAGACGTTCAATCAAAATATTGGCTACAGTCAATTTTTCCTCTGCTTCTTGAACTCTTTTTAGTAAATAAAGCTCTCTTTCACTATGAAATGAAGAAGAATTTGGGGCTACCTGATGACAGACAGGAAATATATACAATATTGAACATTAAACACAGAATTCAATTGCTAGTTTTCTTTTCAGTTTTTTCATATAAAATGAAATTTTTAATATTTTCAAAGCCTGTTCTAGTTCTAGTATGCAAAGTATTTCAGTACTGTAGAGGGGAATTAAAACACTGCTGTTCATTAGGAAAATGCAACATTAGCAGCACAGAAGCAAATTAATTAAGATACATAAAAATATATGTAAATAAGTGCTAAACTTGGGGAAGCATTTGAGTGCATCCAAACTTATAATTATATTGAATAAGCACAAAGATGGGAGAACACTAGAGCTAGTCTAGGCTTCCTGAAACAAAGATGGGGAACCTGTATTCCTCCAGATGCTGCACAACTCCCAGAATTCCTTATCAATAATAATAATGGTTGAGGCTGCTGGGAATTGTAATTCAACATTTCCCGAAGCTGTCTTACAAAAAGAGGAGGATAAAAATGAGATAAACAATATTACTATGAATTGGATTCAACATATCTCTTCCTCAGACAAGCCTCCTATGATGGAAATCCAATCTATCCTGTTTGCAGGACCAACTATGTACACACTGAAACTTCCACAAAAGAGAAAGAGGAGGGGAAGGTTGCCAGTTTTCCCTCCTCCTTCTGCCTCCTGTATCACTTCACATCCTGTTTCTGAAGATCCTCAGCATCCTAGATACTGAGTAATGTGAGGGACTGCAGAATGAGGAAAGTGAAAATTACCTCTTCCCCTTTCCTTGAATTTATGAGTTCTGTGAATGGAATCCAATTCACAGATTATGAATCCAATGATATGTAATTGTCAATGGTCGCACAAGAGTTATGTATAAAAAAACAAAAGCAATCCATACATGTACTTTTTGTGCTATGGTTTGGGCTCAGTGTATATCTGCATTTGCTAGGTCAAATCAGATGAGGGAATGTCAGACTGAGTGTTCATTCTCCTTTCTCACATCTAAGAAGAGAATACAGGTAGTCCTCATTTAGCAACCATAATTGGGACCAGCAACTTGGTTGTTAAGCCAAAGGTCGCGAAGTGAAACCACAACGGTGCTTATCATCTTACTTCAGCTTTCCTTTGCTTTACAGACCTGTGAAGGTCATAAATGTGAGGATTGGTCATAAAATTAGTTTTCCATCACTGTCGTAACTGCAAACAGTCACTAAATGAGGACTACCTGTATGTGGGTGCATTAAGAATACTTAGAACAGAAGACCTTCCTAATATTCTGCATTTCTAATTTCTCGAACATTCTCCTTTTAAAAAATACCCAATTAAGAATAGTGGTCTTGTAACTTACCTTGTGACCCTGGATGTCATTTTCTTTAGCTTCCTGTGGAAATCTACCTGGAGATGGTTGTTCAGGGATAGCAGAATCATTTCTTTTTGGAGAAAGTGAATGGGGTTTTGTCTGAATTACTTTAGTCACTGATGTGCCTTGGAAAGAAAAACAGTGAATTTTGTATTTTTTTTTAAAAAAATTGCATCAAAGACTATACAATTTTTATATAGATACTTTATATTTCTTGGAATAATTATTATATGCCAAAAAGAGCTTATCACAACTTTTAATAGCTTATTTATATATATTTATATTAAACATTTTATATATTAAGCAAATACCTTTCTGTCTTGGAGGAGATTTGACTTTCAGAAGTGGTTTTTTGATGCTTTCCTTTAATGTCTTCTCATTAACTGTGGGAAAGTGCTTTAATGAAGAATTGGATTTCCCATATCCAGAGCTTCTAACAGAGCTATGTGATCCACTCAAATGCTTCTTTCTATGTATGACCACTGTGCTTTTACTATTCTTACACATTACTTGTTTACTTTCTACTAAATTTGGATTCTCTTTATTCCAAGTGTCGGGTTGATGCATCTATGGACAACACATACATGCATTTTATTGATTTATTGATAGTTTGATTTCAGAATGTAAAATAAAGGCATAGTGATGTATAAATAAATAAACAAACAAACTTTAAAATAAGGTTATATAACCACTGAATTATACTTCTATAGAGCAGGCAGATAAACTTTTAACTCTAATTTTACCAAATAACTCCATCCAAAATTATATTATTTGTTTGATTATATCATAAATGAACAACTCAATCATATATAAAATCAAGTAGATACTCAACTACCTAACCAGATGTAGCCTAATCATAGTGGTCAACATGCCTACCTTGAAAGGCACATTTCAGAGTCCTAGAAATCAGCTAATTGTTTCAAGAACAGTAAGGAAAGTGGAAGATAAGTAGGAAATAGGGAGTGTAGGTTAGAGGAATAGGATCAGAGTTTCAACCAGCAAAATTCTCAGTGACTGTACCCAAGTTTTAAACTCTGCTACTAAGCAGACTCATTTTGGGTCCTCTCTGATGGCTTATTGACAAGCAAAGAGTTAGTTAGGGTTAGCTATAGAAAAGTAAAACTCTTGATTTTCCTGATTCCTTGTGCCTTAAGTATAACATGTAAGAGCTGCTCACCTGTCCAGACTTCTTCTCTTGATGTAGTGTTGAAGAATTTGACAGAGTGGTTAATTTCATGACATCATGTTTAATTTTATCAGCTAATTTCTCTTTGCTAACTTTCTGTTGAGGACTATCTTCACTACCTTCATTAGCAACTTCTAAAACAGAAGTATTTTCTTGTTCACCATGATGGTTTAAAAGACAGCCAATGTTTTGGGATTCCATAAGAATATCATTTTGATGTTCTTTAGATGGTTTCATTAATCCATCTGTCTGGTCTTGTTTGACTTTCACATGTCTATGAGGTGGGGGGAAAGAAAGCCATATATGAGTAGATCTGTTGTTTCTATTAATAATAGCAAAAAAACTATGTGCATTTGATACTGGATTGTACACCAGTTTTATATAATTGTTCACGAGGTACAGTTACACAATTACAGTGGAACCTCAGGTTACGAACGCTTCTGTTAATGAACTTTTCGGGTTACAACCAGCTCCAGCCATAAAATTTTGCTTCGGTTTGCGAACTCCGCCTTGGGGTACGAACAGGATACGCGGCCATTTTCCCGCCCCTGACACGTGGTCCGCGGCCATTTTCCCGCCTCTGACACGTGGTCCATGGCCATTTTCCACCCGACATGTGGTCC